GTAATCATAAATAATGACAGTGGCATTGTAAGTTACAGGACAACATTTTTTTAATGAGTGTTGGTGAAAACTCATGAGAAACGGAGGGGTATGCGATCATGAATATTTTGTTGTGAAATTTTAAGAGTGATTATGTAATTTAGTAATCAAAGACATTGTTTTGTTATCAAATAAGTTTGCCAGGATCGACACAGTCTGCTTGGCCAGTAATTATCGGGTAATCATTCCATCATGATTCTTGGGTACAACTAAGCCAAGGATATAATTTTAAAAAAGGATGGACATCAAACAGCAGAAAAGAGTGATTTTTTTTGCACTATTTCATGACTTCTAAAATTAAAATTATGGCTAGAAGGAAAATGTGTTTTGAATGGGTAAAGAGAAAAAGCAGGAATCTTGCAGTTGAACTTGAAAGAATAGGTGTCTTCGTCTTGAGTTGAGATTATTGCTTTAGGAACTGGTTGAAGCATGCACTGGAGCATGCTTGGAGCATGGTTGGAGCTGGTCATGTGATGTGGGTGTCATCGGGAGTCCTGTGTAAAGGAGTTAGAAAGAAAAGAATAACGACTAAGGTGAAGAAAACTTGCAATACCCCATTTATGCGGAATGCACTACTGAAGTACTAACCAGACATGCCAAACAACGAAACATGTCTTATATGTTGTATTTTTGTGACCCCCCCCCCCCCCCCCCGCATATGATTTTATCTCAGCAGAACAGCAGAGACACTGAACAGTCATCAATGTATTAGTTTCCTCTTTATCCTGCTTGGGTTCATTTCTGTTGTCGAGTCATGTGATTTTCTGCCAGAGTGTATTCTCTTAGATCCACTATTCTAACTGTGTTGGTTTCAGGTTTTAGTCTTTGCCTGTATTTTGGGGTTTTTGGCCTGAGGTTTGAACTTGATCACGTCTTTAATTTTGATTTGAGGGTTTCTTTATTAAGTTGGTTATTGGTCTTTGATTTGCAGTAAATTAATTTTGTTTTGCCTATGAGTATGAAAGCCATTTCTGTAAAGGAAGTTTTTAGTATGATTTGCCGTGTTCTAAGATTACCACAAAGATTTAGTTTGCATCATTTTGTATGGAATGAATGTACATTTCATGGCCTATATACAAATGCAGCAGTTTTTTTTGTAGCTAGTACTGAGTAGTAGTAGTAGGCCTAGGCTTCCACGCTTAGGACTAAAACAAACTAAAGCAAAATCCAAAAATAAACTACCAACAAAGCCCAATTGTGAAATCAAAAGTTGACAAAGTTCTACAAACATGTTCGGGTACATGTTCCAAGTGAGGCCTGTAGTTGCGGAGGTCATGCAGCATGCAGTAAATTTGGCCACATTAAGCCTAGCCATGGAGCAAGGAAAACGAAGTAAACACACGGCCAAACTCGGGCCGAGGCCTCCCCCGTACAACCCTCCCCGTACTACCACCAGACTACGCCATCATTGGACACTTACAAACTCACACTTTTCACAAACAACAATGCTTCTCAATGCCAGTGGCGTTCGAAAGAATACCACTTTTCTCAAACAAAAATACATATCATAAATGAGACTTACCGTTCAAAGAGAAAACTGGAGCATGGAGGAACAGATACATCAACCATGTCAACAAAGCTGTGCTGTTGCATGCGCTGCATGCTCACAACGAACGTACATGTATACGTGGCACGTCAATTATCCGGCCGGCCCGTACGCTGCATGCTCATAAACGAACGTATACGACGTGGCACGTCAATTATCCGGCCCGTACGCAAGATGGCCGGCGCGGCCGGCTCAATGGGGAAAGGAATTATGGGAAAATGGGGTGGAAATAGCCGGGCCCCGTTCCGCATCCCCCGCAGCCAACGGGCGCGATGGGGACAGGAGACCGGTCGGAAAAATGGCAGCGCCCCCGAATCATTTTCGTGATTGTAGTATAGATAATCACATGCCGACGGATAACGTATTACAAAAAACTGTATCCGATAATGTACTATTACCACAGAACGGGCACTGCGTCAACCGATAATGTATCTAAAATCAACCGATAATGTATCCGCAGTTTATGGAAAGGTTGAAATGTTACATCATTTGAAGTCGAATGGGTGCCTTTATTATGATACGTACGTACGTTATAATAAAACTCGGGAAAAGTTAGCATTCTAAAGGGTGAAAATTAATGTTTTCGATTTTGGGAGGTTGGGAGTTGCTCAAATTAGAAGAGACTCTACTCCCAACAAGAAGGCTATAGACCCAAGGTGTTGTGCATATTTTCTGTGTTCCCGCAGATATTAACATGAAAAAAGGAAGAGTTTGAATTAAACGTGGACAATTTTCTCCATTTTGGCGAAGTTATAGCAATTAGGTAAGTTATAGAATTAAAAACAAATATGGTCCGTCCCCCAAAGTTTCATACTCCAATTTCCCGTTGTTGGAATCGTTTGAGCAACTAGTGTTACACTGCGAAAATATATAAATCCTTGGATGTAGGCTATTGAATCAGTGCTAGCCGATGGCCGATGGATGAGCGGGTATGCCAAACAACGGTGAAAATGATAGAGACAAATTCGGTAATAAGCTGTGCAATGCAGAAAACACTTTTTATTTCCAAGAAGTCAATCTATACCGAGTACCGATACATTACATAAAAGTATACATATATGACAACAACAGAACATACGGATCGAAAAAAAATTGATTTCGTCATCAGACCGGAAGTTACAATAAAACCCTCAAAAAGTGCTGAAAAATCAACCGCGATAGAAATAATCAAGATTTGGCTATATATAGCACAGTTAAAATAACTCTTGAACTTTCTGGTAATAACGTCACAATGACGTCATCAAGTATCGTATTACAAGCAATCAAAGATTTCTAGATTTAATCTTTGAAAATCAATATAAAATCAACTGCTACAGATTTGATTTTGTTTTTATGGCAATCGATACAATATTGCAGGGTCTTCATTTTTGGTATTAAGTGCAAAATCACGTGACCCCTCCTTCTCTATACTTTGACAGATTGATCTGACATGGTTGCCTGCTATTACCCAAAAATGCTGTCCAAAGAGTCATATTCCACTTTGTCTGGTCCACTATTATGCTTGCCAGGATTTTTTTCATTCATTTTTTTTCATACCGTTCCCCTGAAGGTTTTTCTTTTCATTTAAAAGTTTCATTGACGTTGCATGCATTTTGTACTCAACATTTACAAATAGCAAGGTTAATTGAAACCAGTCATGGTTTACGCCAATTCCAGTGTAGTTTCGTTTTAATAGAAAAAAACTCTCCTTGTTTTACCCTCTGCAAGTTTTTCCTCATAAAAACTCTGTAGTCCGATAAAATATTGCCTATAGCCCCAAACTTGCCATCTACCGATCATAAACATAAAGATACATTCAATTTTTCAATAGGGGCAAACTGTTCATACCTTTCCCCTGAATTTTTTCTTTTTATTTAAAAGTTTCATTGACGTTGCAAGCATTCTGTACTCAACATTTACAAATAGCAAGGTTAATTGAAACCAGAAATACGGGAATTTTTTGGGAAAAATATGTTTTGCCCCCTCTAGAAAAAAAACCTGGCGACGCCCATGACCAGCGGCCAAGCAATTTGCCCTTCCCGAGCATGCACATTTTAGACGGGCACTGCATAGTATAAATAACTCTATGTTTTAGAGTTGCTGCGCCGTTTTTTGGTTCCCATGATGCCTTGTGCGATCTTAAGTGAGGGAACGCGTACGCGCCCATGGAGACGAGGCTGGAACGCGCACGCAGCCTATGGAGTCGAGGCTGCATCCATCTTATAAAACCTATTTAGACACGACATTTTAAAATACTGCGCGTATATGGTAATAATTGACGGCAATCATTATTTATATCAAATTATTACACGAACGTGTACGTCTGCGCATGATTCAAAGCCACAGGACGTTCGCGCATTGCGTACCATATCGTTACAAGCCACGTAACGCATCTCATAAACAAAATTCACAACGTATAAAGCATATAAAATGTCGTGTCTAGATGTTGTTAGATGTGCATCCACGGAGCTCTCAATAGTAAGAAAAAAACGCGCCCTCTGTTCTTGGCTCACAGAGCCCATAACTGTTTCTTTTTGTTTCAAAAATATTAAACCTCATGCGTATTGGATGGGTCATCCATTTGGACCTTTATCAAGGTACGCCATCTTAAAAATCAAAGCGCGGCAAACAAAATAAGTCAAACATGGAGGCGTAAATATTGTGTGCAGTCAACGACGCGAGTGACTCACTCAGTATTACCTTAAAGCTACAGTCCATCATTTGTAATTTGTGCATTATGTTCGTTTGAAGCAACAAAAGAGTTCAAAATCTAATGAAGGATACTGAGCAACTAACCTGATGAAGTTTCAGCTAAGTTTCAGCTGTACATTCCGAGAAAAACAGCATTCTAAGATCTCAATTTCAAATCAAAAGTTACTGAATCATGTTTTGAATCATGTTTTGAATTGCAGCTATACGCGACGTCGCGCACTGATCCGACGAATTATAACAACCGCGCGCGCGTGTGCGTCGTTCCAATACTTGTGCGCGCTGCGCTGAATAACAAAACGAACTACTAATTTAAATTTTCCTACGGTGCTTCTTAAGAATCACCGTTGGAAATGCCTTCTTGCGTTGATTACTTCAAAATGACAGCTTCCCGGAAAGAATAATTTCACAGGGAGTTTAGTTCCCTTACTATCTTGCAACCAAGTTTGTTTTTCAACAATAATTACGCCAGTTACTTTTCGGATGGCTGCAAATGATGGACTCTCGCCACGTTACTTCCAAAGCACAAGGATTTTGCTTTTAAACGCTAAGGCTAGGCTCAGGTTTCAACCTGCTGATCTCGTCGGTGGTATAAAAAATGTTTCTTTTATAACGAATTCGACAACGAATTCAAATAACAAAGCAGGACTAATTGTGAAAATAATGGAATTAATGATTCTTTAATACTTTGATCTTAACACATTATGGTTGATCATTTCTATCCTAGAAACCCAACTTGACTCTCATCTAGCAAGGATTATAGCCCAACGGCGCATGCACAACATGTCATCAGGTATGAATCAATAACAATTATTACTTCAATTGACTTTCCTGAAAGTGGCTTCACGTGTGTTTAATTCATGTTGAACTTAATCTGTTCGTTGCCTCCGCGTACAGTGTGTATGAAAGAAAAAGGAAAACTAAGTTGAATACATTCTCAGGCCTAATACGTGACAATATTGATGAACACACGAGAGAGAAATGCTTATAACAGTGTCGTTGGTCTTTAAATGAGTGTCAAATTGTCAAATATCAAAAAGGAAAACAAAAAATTGATCGTAATATCCAGCTTAATGCAGGCGCGGATCCTTGGGGGGGGGGGGGGCCAACCCCCGTAGTTCTGTCAAAAATGAGTTTTTTTCATAGAAATTCATCAAAAAAATGCGAAACCCACCCCCTCCCCCTGCACTGTCACCTAAAAAAACTGCTGGTAATGTCCGCATGTGCACAAAATACGGGCAGAGCCAGCACACTATTCTATAATATAGAGCTAATTGTCGTCGGATTTGCACAGCGCCCCCATTGAAAGTTTGGTATGGTACCCCAATTGATTTTCGGAGGGCAAGTGTCCGGAGATACTTGTCTACATTTCATAATTTGTTGCTGATGACCCCCCCCCCCCCCCCAAAAAAAAAAAATCCTGGATTCGCCCCTGTAATGATATGAAGAGGCATTGAACCCACGCAGAGAAATGCGTGTATACATGTCGCGGGTCATAAAATGGATGGGAGATTGTCAACCGTACGGAAAGAAAAATCTCTGACGAAACAACTGCAACATGAATGTTGACGAGAGAATGCAAAGCTGAACCACCAATTCCTATGATCACCGGTAACATGAGACACATGTGGCCAAACTACCACAAAAAAAACCCTCAGTTGAGAAAATTTAGTTTAGTAATAAAGTCTTACAACACAAACTCCGGTTCCTTTCGTATACAGAGGCGTTCTTCTCCACCCCTGCCGGCGTTAAAGACTACTGTACCGCCACGAACTACCAGGAATGGAGCGATTTTATCAACCAAACGATGAACGAAGTGATTCAGGTGGAAGAAACGATTGTTGGAGTGGGGAAAAGCCAGTTCTACAATCCACAGATCAAGCCAGCTGGAGAGGACAGGGTCACTCAAAAAGGTGTGCATTAACTTGTCAATTAAGATCTGTACATCAATTAAGAACAAATGCTATACAAATGGTTCTGAAACGATCACAATTTTGGAGGATTTAGGGGTTTCAGTGTATGCCATTGCCTTCGAAGGTATGAGCTTTCATCGCTTTTCTTAAATATAAAAAAGCAACCACTTAAAGAAACACACTAGAGAACTAACAACACAGAACCGCAGTAGCACTTTCTGCTGGCGAACATAAATAACTTTTTTTAACTTTGAACATTCTTTGCCCCCTCAAAGCTATCCTCCATTGTTTTTTCCAGCTTTTTTTGAAAAGGTTTGAACGTCAGTATTCCACTTCATGTAAACTTCAGTCATATTCTGACGTTTGGAAGTCTTTTTTTGTTCAAGTCTGCTCAAGTATCTTCGGGTTCAATAATTATACTGTAGCATAACCAATGCATGTATTAGCCACCTACAACACGCGCCCCGTTTGTTTCGATTTTTCAATAAGCTCACCATAATGTTGTTTTTGTTGTTGCTTAGTTTTGCTTTTTTTATGGTGCGCTCAAAATGTCAATGCATAATGAAATTATTTTAATTTTAATCAGGGTAGACACTGAAAGAAGCACGGGAAGTCCACACAAAAAAATCAAAGTAATTTTTAAATTTAATTTGCTCTGCTTATATCTTCAAAACGTTCTACTAATGGTGCATTGGCAAGGCCATGTTAAGTCGTCGCACACCCAGTGTCCCTTCATACTTACTTTAAAAGGACGGGGGAAATACTAAAACCCAACTCATGAGTTGTTGCGTGTGTCTTTTCTTTTCTTTTCTTTCTTTTTTTCGCTGTTTGAAATTAAGTCCTTACATGTGCCTTGTTTTTTTGGGGTTTTTTTTTTTGGGGGGGGGGGGGACAACAGTAACATGGAATGGTTTCCCTCGCCGTCTGCAGCAAGATTTTCCAGAATCGTACCTAGAAGTTGCAGACAAGCAAGACGGATGGCCTCACAACGGCGAAGAGTTCAAGAAAGCCAGAAACCAAGACGAATACCTGGAGTGGTACGTACGGCACATCTCCCTAAATACATACAAGTCTTTATAGCTCTTATAATTCAACACATTTCGACCTATTTCGGTCGTGCCCGAGGTCAGCACTTCCGTGTGAGCAGGCCCATACAAATAATGTATTGATCACAACTGCATGCCTTCACAAAACTCCCTATCATATTGACCCGGAATCCGGGTTGTATTTGGCATAACCCTTTTCCGGGTCAAGAGTTTACATATACACCGTCCCTTGGATTTCGTGGTTGCCGGCATCGGATCTGACCACCCTCAAACGAGACCTTCGGCGAAGCTGAATAATAGTTACAACAGTGAATGATTAATATGTCCACCATTACTCATACTATCATGAAAGTTATTTCTTTGGGTACCGGGTTCCGCACTGCAAAAGCTCAAAGTCATATACTAGCTTTTCAACTTTGGATTATTTCACGGTTAAGACCAATTTGAAGTCTTGAGGGATGTAACATGCACTTATGTTTGCATAACGCTCGACGCAAGCCCGCGGGAACGGGGGGGGGGGGGTGCCTTGTTGTGGGTGCTGCAGCACCCCCAACTTTTTGGATGGGGGTGCTGGAATGTGCTTCAGCACCTCCTACTCCCAGGCAAAAATGCGTTCCAGCCAGCAATGTTCTACTACATCCAAATGATCCGAAATTTTCCGGGGCCCCACGCCGTATAAGGGTTCGGAAAATAAAACAAACATACACGAAGGAATTTACTAAATGCAAGAAAGCAGCCTTGCAACAATAATTTTTACCTGATATGTCATGCATAATGATACAATTCTTTTCCATAATATTAAATGGAACAAAAAACAGAGATAAACATACAGGGTTCCCGACTTTTCAGTACAGTAAAAACGTTATAAGAGCAATAGTATATTCTTAACAAAATAATGAAATAAATTGTCTTCATCATCGTAAAAAAACGTTTGCCAAAAAAAGTCAAATGAAAGTGGCCAGGAATCGCCTCAGATTGCACAACAGATCATCCATATTCCAAAACGTTTAGGGGCCATTTAAGCCACGCCGTAAGGGCTTTGCGCTCAGCGTTGGCATTTATTTTGCCAGCACCCCCTGGCAAAAGTTTGTTCCAGCGGGCTTGGCTCGACGCCTATTTTTATGCTTTTGGCTTCCATGTTTTCTTTTACAACAAACTGTCAATGATTCAGGTACGTCTACAAGAACGATCGGGGCCAAATTACCCGCGTGGATTTCACCTGCGAAGGCCCCGAGTACTGGGATTGTCTGTTCCAATGGGAACCAGAGACTTGCCTTGCTCTCTACAAGAACTATATCTCCCCTGATGTCAAGCTCCAGGACCTCTACACTGAGGATCAAGGTAGCATACCAATCCATCATTTTAAGATAAAATTTCCGTCGGGGCACCACCCGAGTAAGCTTTAACACCGAGAATGCAGTATTTACAAAACATGTCTGCAAAGGGCAAAACCCGATATAAAACATACCAATCTAGTTTACCATATTCGCTAGTTCCCAAGCTATCCACGGGCACTGAAGGCCGCAAATCCCTGATACAAAAAAACTTGTAAAGGAAACGCAGGAATCAGGGTTTATAAGTTCCCTGACCCGACGGACCCAGTATTAACTTGACAAGTTAATACTGGTTCAGTTTTAGAGACAGTTACTCCTGCCACGCGAAGCTGTTCGTGTGTATATTTTCATTTTTAAAACAACAGCGCAGGGTTCTTGGACTCGGATTTGCACGGTACCCACCCCCTCCCACAGTGCTTTTCCAAACAAAGTCTTGTGTCACGCCTATGCATTAGCAAATAGACAATGAATAGTGCACTAATACAAACTATTTTTCTATGTATGCATGTCTTGTATAGGTAAGAAGATATACGACACTTACAACAAGTGGAATACCACCGATGGGTGTATGCACCTCAACTGCCCGCCCAACTCTCTCGGCGCGGAAGTCAGACTGGCTGGAGATGCGTCTATCGTAAGTGAAGACAAAGGCCACATTCGGTATTAATCAGTAGGGTAACTAATGGAGAGGAGGTATCGAAAAATCGGACACATTTTTCTGTATGACTAGTACAAATAATGTCCAAAATTCCATTTACACAGGGAAAAAAGTATACAAGTGACCTGCAGCCAACAAATTATTTGGTTCTTGCATCGTGATTATGATTCCCTCAGATTCGCAAGAAAAATGGCAGCATTATTACAGACTCGCAAGAACTGATCAACTGCTCCCAGTATGGTCGGGCCGACCGGAACAGCGATCCTCACATCGGCTCAGCCTGCAACTCGCTGTGTCGCCTCGGCAAAAGGATCAGCATTGCCAACCCCGTCTGCCTGTTCATTGCCGATGTGAAGACTGCTGGTTGGACCACCCCAAACGGGGATGATGCCTCCAAGTACATGAAACTCCTCCGCGGGACCGCAGGTAAAAACCTACACGTATTATAAGCTAGTAATTTTGTTCACGTATTCAACTCCTTTTGCCTATAAATCGCTAGTTTCAAGGTGAACTATATCGCTCCTTGTATGCTTGCTTGCTTGCTTAAGTCGGCGATATCTGCCGGATAATGGCTCTCCACTGTTCCCTGTCCCCCATAGCAGCCAGTAGTTCTTCTTTAAGGAAGCCTGTACCGTGACAAACATATAGGTGATATTTGGTCTTCCCTTCACGTAATGGGAGGAAGTCCAGAGCACCAGGCTGCTTACAGCAAGCTGAGGATGCCTGTGACAGTACCCCACAAATCTCTTTGCCCTGATCTTCTTGTGCAACTCTCTATAACCATGGAGGTTCTTATTTCTCCATGCTATAACCATTCCCATTTTTGTTTTGAAAACAGAGGAAGGCCTGCGGTACAGTTTAGAGGTGCCTGCTTCTGAAGGCTTCACTGTAGGTGACATCGAGATAGCCGGTGTGCCCATCCAATATGGCGGATCGGTGGCCTTCCTGATGGATGTGGGTCTGACAGCTGAGGCCTGTACTGACACCAATGGAGTCCAACCAGCCCATCCATGCGTTGGCACCTCACCGAAGGGTCTTGCTTTGAACCTTCTTGCCCTCAATACCTTGCACCCTCTGCTAAAGGTCAAGAATCACTATTTTGCCCGTGGCTACACAGCTATGTAAAACCCCTGAGTAGACCAAGGGACCAATTCCAAGGATCTGCGCTTAGCAAAATAATGTGTTTAGCAACATAGCACATTTTTTGTGCTAATACCAGCTGCATGAATTGGTCCACAGGTCATTCGATCATTAATATATAGGTCCACATGACTAGTTTGATACCGTGGTTTCACAGCTCTATCTAATCGTCTGTGGCCCGCTTTTAGAACTCCATCAAAGTAGCTCTTATTTCCCATTACCTGTAGCTTATCTTTTCTTTCGCCTATACATCGTGATTATCCCCTACACTCGTTTGCTGTTTTCCCCTTTAATTTGTTCGTGTCACTGCTCCTCGTTTGGCTGACTCACTTCGTTATGCTACATGGTGTGTCCAAAAGAAAGTGTGTGTCCAAATCTTTAAAAGAATACAATACAATTAAATTACATTGGAAGAATGTACATGTTATTGACTAGTTATGTTACCGTACGTAATTTGCGTGCTACTCACAAGCTATTTCTATTTTACTAGAAATGACACAAAATTCAGCTGTCCACGTACCACTGATCATTTTAATACCTATACGCATCAGTGAATACACTATTATTCAATGAACCATGGAGCTGTTTTTTCTGCCTAGAATTAACGAAAACTTGCAAAGGAAAACAAAGTCCCCATCATTGTTTGAGAAAAACACAAGACTTGAGACTTTTGGATTATTAACCGTACTTGTTGTTTTAGTATTGTTATGCTTAGTTCCTCCTTTATTTAGTACTCTTTATCAATTATTCATAAATACCTAAGACAGTTTACGCATTCCTATTGGTCGAGAGCCCGTCACGTGGCCGGTCTTAAACGGATGATAAAGACATGGCTAGCTGGTCTTAAACACTTTTCCAGTGTCACAATAAAATGTGGACTCCTAAAAATCCAGTGCCTCTTATCGTTTCATTGGTTGAACGTTCACAATCCTCACGTAGGCATGCGCAACACTACCAGGGAGTCAGAATTTTAAAGTTCTAAATTCAAAACGCAACGCGCCAGGTGCGTTCTGCGCGACATCGCGCAGAACATGATACGCGCGCGTCAATCTCCATAAAAGGGTTGTTTACATCTTACTCGCCAGCTGAACACTCCATTATTTTGCAAGAGGGATGTTTCAAAAAGCATAAAGTGAATTTGTTGAACAAAATCGGGATGTTTTGAACGAATTATATGATTTTTTCTTACCGAAAAGGTATATATGAATGGGAATAAATATGTGCTCCGTCGGTATTTATCACTCTGTTTAAGACGACTTAGAGTCTGGGTGCTGATAATTACCCTCGCCTCCGGCTCGGGTAATTATCAGCACCCAGACTCTAAGTGGTCTTAAACAGAGTGATAAAAACCTCCGAAGCACACATTTATTCCCTTATTACTATGTCATTTCATGTTCTTCATTAAGTTACTCGTTTCATGTCATTTACTCATCGACATATTTTATGTGCTGTCATTGTCAGTAATGTGGAAATAAATGTATCTGTATGAGTAGCTACCGAAAATATATATTAATCTTGTCGGGTAAATGGCTTGCTTCGTCGTCTTTTTTGTATACGTATAGAGTTAGGTTATTCCTTCATCTGCACGCAGATAATGAATGTGGGGACTCATAATCGCGAGAGCATTGTGGTATTACATAACTGAGAGTTTATCTTTGTACTGTAGTTAACTACTGCTGTTCTTAAACTTAATAATGATAATGATAGATTTGCCTTAGATTGTAAGTGAATTCTATAGTTATGGAATCGCATCATACGCAGTTTGTTTAAAGATAATATACAACATTTACTTTCGCTGTAATTTTGAGAAATGAATAGATTTGAGGGTAAGTACTTTATAAAATGTATTATTACACTGACCTGTTTAACATTTTTGTTCATTGATGCTGGAAAAATCAACAAAAACATGTTGTTCTTGTAGTCTGGCTCTCTGATCCTATACGAAACAGAACTTTTGGGGTTTTGTTAAGTCAGGGATCTAGACTAGCTGGCTTGCACCCATTCACAGATGTTTAACTAATTGTAAACGGGATATGGACTAGCTCAATTTGGTAAGATTTTTTCCAACGATACGGTCGGCCGAACATCGTTTGAAATTAATACAAAATCTCGCTAAGGCTTGCAAATGACAGCACACCAGGTGCCATAATTTCACGGGAAGCTTGAGACTATCAAGTAGTTACGTCATGTAAGGTTATTTTATAATAATTGGATGGTTTATATCTACTTTTAATTTTCTGCTTCTATATATGTTTTGTCTTATATCAAACATAGTATATCCATTGTTAAATTCATTCTGTTAATCTTGGTGGAGTTGGTTCACGTCGCTTGTCGTGATATCTAGATACAAAAAAATCTTTGGTAATTGGAGAAAAAAAAAATGTTTATTACATTTTGGGTAATGGGAGCTTAGAACAAACCTTGATCATATTAGAGCAATTAATGTGTATGTAGATGAATTATGGTCAATAAAAGTGACACATGACTGGTATAATTATATTCAGTATTTGTTGACTTAGAATTCTTGTTCATGTCACTAAGTTTGCTTTTTATATTTTGAGTAGTACACGTGTAGCATGCTCTTATAAAACACTCGCATGGACGGGTCCACAATAAGTTGGGATTAGGGGATGACTTTGTGAATGAAGTAGGCCAATATGTAGACTTGACTCAAGTCGGAATTGCCTTAATTTGGTATCTAAAAAAAAATTAACTAAAAAAACCCACTGAATTTACATCGTACGGAAGCGTAGAAGGGCCAAAAGAAATTATGAAAAATTTAGTTCCTAACTCGTCGCGGCGAATTACTATCTCGCCGCGGCGAAATACTATCTCGCCGCGGCGACCTACTATCTCGCCGCGGCGAGTTACTATTTCGCCACGGCGAATTACTATCTCGCCGCGGCGAGCTATATATCTAGCCGCGGCGAATTACTATCTTGCATCGGTGAGCGTGGGCGCGACGAATAGCCTTACTCTGTGGATCCTATGGAACGCCAAAGAGGCACTCAGTGTGATCATCAAATCGGTGATGCACTTTCTCGATAGGTAGTGGAGTGCTGATGGATTTTCGCGATCTGTGATCAACTTCTGGCAAAACTAACATCCTAATCGCCCATACAGTGCTGGGTTCTAATTTGATGGCACGTCCGGTAAATAAAACAATTTATGCGACAGTAAAGATGTCCTTTCCCTTTTGTTAAAGGGAATATACAACATTTGCAATCATCGAAAAATAAAACTTTTTACGAAATACCTTACTCCGATGTTGGTTAATGACAGTCTGAAACATCCTATAAAATTCTCCTCTATAAAAGGCCTCTGGTGTGAAGTCATTTTCAAAAAAATGGGATTTTTGTAAACATTTCCAGCGGTGGTCGGCCGACCACCGTTGGAATAACCTAACTATTTTTCAACTACTGCTCCAAATTTACCATTTATTTTCAGTCCAAATTTTGTCTGCTATTGGTTACATGTTCATGAACGCAGTGGCCGCGCCGCGAGGCAAATGAATTGCAGTCAGGCTAGGCAAGATGGCGTCGGTCGGTCACCCCCAACTGTACTTCCTTTGCCGGTGAGGGGGTGCTGTGAACGGAGCGGATAGAATAAAAAGACTAGATCGGCAGTGCCATAGACTTTTTATTCTATATCTATGGGCAGTGCGTACAGACGCGCGTTCTGCCATGGGCAGCGCCATTTTGTAGCGCGTGGGGCAAAACCTGCGTTACGCACACCTTTTTTTCCGTAGGTTTGTATGGAAAGGAATATTTTTATGTCCGTAAAAGTTATATTTTTGACCTGTAGTACTTATTTCCTCAGCAAGTTTGGTCCATTTTATTCCTTGTATTCATTTTCCGATTTAAATGCTGGTGCGCGTTTCTAAAAAACATACCCTGCATCCAATTGTGCTATTTGCTTCAGAATTATAACAGAGTACATGAATATAATAGCCCCCTAGCCTCCATCAAATTACAGAATGATGATCATTTTGAACTTCTTTTTCCATAGTTGTTGCGTTGTCCTTAAATTTAACCCTAAAGGGGCCGGAGGGGCGGAATCCGCCCCCCCCCCGACTTTTTCCGCGATAGCCTTTAAAAAAATGTTTTCGCGACCCGAGCTTTTATGACTTTTTAGCCTCGAGCCGTGCACATCTTTTGACACCAAAAACATAAAAATCGGACCGGGGGTTGTGGCGCAGCGAACATTTTTCGCATTATACGTCGTGTACACAGACCAGAATTGCCATTCATACATATGAATAATTGATTAGCCATAATTCCAAAACCCTTTGACTTTTGGTCATGAAATTTCTTGGGTATGTTCATGAAGAGTTGCTCTATGCATGTACCGAGTTTCAAAATTTTTCGTCACTCGATGGCCGAGATCTTAGGGGGGCCGCCATCCAAACAGGATAATAATATAGTGTAACACAAACCTCTAAAATCCTCCATTAACACATTTCACAATTTTAATTTTAAACAATTTAACGGTAATTCAAAGCAGTTTTTACATTCCTTTTTATTGATTTAACAATGTTTTATATATATAGTTTTATCAGATAAGCACGATATTTTATTGGATATTTTTAGCAACGCGCACAACCATTTTCAGACGAAAAAAATTAATTTGAGGGAAAAATGGAGCAAACTTCGAGGTGACTATCCAGCTTGATAATGCATTTTGAGTTTTGTCGGAGACATAATTACTACTGGTCAAAAATGTTACTTTAATGGGCATAAAAATACACATTTGTGCACAAACCTACGGGAATTTAGATGAGCGTAACGCACGTTTTGCCCCACGCACCACTGCGCATAGGGCGTCCATGGCGGAACGGGAAAATTTGTGCACAGTCTATTGCGCGTATGCACGTGCTGCCGATCTAGACTTATTATTCTATATCTATGTAAAGAACGCATAGATATCCGCTCCGTTCACAAGTACCCCCTCACCCAACCTCGTCCCCAGGGTGTCGAGCAGTACGCGCCCACCACTACCTGCTCTCTCACCCTGGTATTGGATCATTTGCATGTGCAAGATTTTTGCACACGTATGCAAATGAGGAACAGTCTGGTGCCTAGATATGCGTCACACATTAGCGTTTGTTTTTGTATGCGGTGTCTGGGGTAAAAACAGAGTCAATTCGTAGCAGCGCGAGCACGGCGTGAGTTACGAAAACACGATTTTTGAAATCAAACTGTTACGATAATATCGAGACAACATGCAGTATCATATTTCATATTAATATGAGCAAATTGGAAAGGAAATTAGTATTTTCGAGAAGGCATGGACGAATGATCGCGAAAACACGTACTGCACGTTGTGAATATATAGCACCAAGTACACGATACAAATCCATTACTAGCCAATTGCGGTATCCAATCAGGATACAGGAAGAAAGTTTCCTATCCAGGGTTTACTATTGGAAACGCGGTTGGAAATAAAGTTAGCACTGGGGACGAGGTTGCCCCCTCACCGGCAAAGAGAGTACAGTTGGGGGTGACCAAACGACGCCATCTTACCTGACTGCAATTCATTCGCTGCGAAGCGCGGCCACTGTGCGCGTACATAGTGCAAATCCCCTGGTGTACTGGGGACGAGGTTGCCCCCTCACCGGCAAAGAGAGTACAGTTGGGGGTGACCGAACGACGCCATCTTACCTGACTGCAATTCATTCGCTGCGAAGCGCGGCCACGAAGGGGGTGACCGAACGACGCCATCGAAGGGGGTGACCGAACGACGCCATCTTA